TTTAAAGTGATTTGAATTAGTGACAAAAAGAAATAAAATTTACTTGCTCAATTCCAATTCCATATTCTCCTGCTATACTATTTTTTCTGTGATAATGATTAAAAGGTTAAATTTAATCAGGATTAAAAAGACCTATTATGGAAGAAAAGTTGAGTATGAGACAAATTTTATCAAAGACAATATGTAAAGGCTTAACATATGTATTGATCCTTAACGTTAGACAAATGACATTCCGTGAAACTGTTTCCAACCAAAAATAATTGTTGGCCACTTTAATTATCCTCTTTATTTTCTAGATTTATTTCTAATTGACTTTTGAGAGTGTTCCAATATTAAATGTATTTTCTTAGATGACAATTTGCCAGTATTAAAAATATTAAAAAGGTTATATGGGAAAAAATGTTCGAGTGTTCTTTCCAAACTGTATATTAGCAATGATAACAGCAAAAGAAACATATATCACCTTGTCAAGGTGATTTACTTTAAATGGAACAACACTTAGTGTGTAAGAGATGGTATGTTTTATTTATTTTTAAATCAATTATACAACTTTAGTTAGAACTCAGATAATGTCTTTATTTTAAAATATATTTTGATACTTCATCTAGATTCAAATAAATTTAAAATGTATGAAAATAAACACCTGAAACTAAGCAAAAGTTTACTTTATACTGTTTATATTTGAAATGTCTCTGCTATGCTAATGAACCTAGATACCAGCTGTGGCATGGAGGCAGGCATTTAGCTTGCCTAAGAGATGAAATGGTATATGTTAATCCATTTCATGACAGCCTTCTTGCTTGTCAAGCTGATTAAAAATAACTCTTAGTTGCCAGAGATTTTTTGCAAGGGAGAAAATCCTCAAACAGGCCACAATCAGCTTCTGCAGGAGCCTCTGCTGCTGGCTGTATGAGAGGCAGAAAACCCCAAGGCTTCTTCCCACACAGAATGAAATCCAGATGCCTTTGTATGGGTGCAGAGACCTCTACAGGGAGACAAATGAGAAAGATAAATGGAGAAGTTCTGGAATTTATTAATTTTGCCTTCCTGTATTTTTTGTGGGGATAAACCACAGTTCTCAACCATTTCTTTAAAGCAGAGCCCAAAGAACTATCTTCCTCAGGTTCTCTGCATAATTGGTGTGTAATTATAATGAATAAAATTGTAGTTTTAGAGTCTCTTTCATTTTAATTTTTCACTTAAACTGATTTCTTTCTTTAATTACCTTCAATCATTAAGATTTTGATGCAGTGAATATAATTTAAATATTATCAAATCTGGATAAATAGAAGCTTTTAGCTCTCTATTTGGTTCACTGAATGTAGTGCATATGTGTTTGAATATATTTTTTTAATTTCACATTTTAGGATTATTAAAGTCTGGTAAGACCAATTCTGTGGAATCTCTTCCAGAACTCTTGACATCAGACTCTGAAGGAAGCTATGCGGGACTGGGTAGTCCTAGAGATTTACAGTCCCCTGATTTTACAACAGGATTTCATTCAGATAAGATCGAGGTTTGTTTTTTAAACTACTGCTTCCTTACCTTCTATTTTTAGGTCTGTAGACAATTTCTCTTGTTTTTCCTTGTTTTTGCTCTAATTTTAAAACACTGTCCTGTTTGGTACATAAGAAAGTATAACTAATCACACAATATATGTAGTGTTAGTTTTCTCAAATTTGTGTAAAATTTCTAGTTTTAGAGATTTTAATTGGAGTTTTGAGCCCTTTGTGATGTTATTTCTAATCTACTTTCT